AAAAAAACAGAGGCCCTGGGATGGTGCAGAGAATCTATAATTCACAAATCTACCAGATGTCGCCAAGTCCACACCTACTAGTGCATTCCCCCAAATGAAAAAATGACACGGAGTAGCCCACAGCTGAGGTTCAGAAGTCACCAGCATTTTCTCTCACCTTGATGGTGATGTGCCCGTGGATATTTTCCATTTCTCCCAGCATAGCTGACATCAAGGAAGATTTCCCAGAGCCCACAGTACCCACCACAGCCACTAGTTGGCCTGGCATGATGTCCAGGTTCACACTGGAAGACAGAAAATGTTTTGAAGACTTTGTTGTATTGTTGTTGTTGTTTTGGAGGGGTAGGGAGTGTGGACATTTAAGAATAGTTTATGCCACTTTTCTGACCCTTCATGGAGTCTAGTTTAGCAGATTTCCCCCTTAATAATGGACAATTTATCTTAGATACATATGACCCTAAAGTACTTCTTTAGTAATTTTCTTTTTATCTTTAAATGGCTAAAGAATGAGTCCTAACTAATCTAAACTCATCTATGAACTGCATGCCAAATGTATATTTCCAATAGAAAAGTGTCTCTATGACCAACAGTACTGTAGAACAAAATGACTTACATGAAACCTGGAGTTCTGGCTTCATGTAGCCCCAACTCTGCCACTTCTAGGTTGTGCGACTTCAGAAGGTCGCTTGCTCTGGACTAAGGACCTTTGATTTAAGCTATCAGCTGGGCTAGAATGTGGTTGCTAAATCAATGTCCAAATCTAGTTACATAAGCAGTAAATATTATTTTTGTGGTCAATGTTCCTCAAATTTATTTATTCAAGGAGTTCTTGCTGAGAGCAGCATCCCTGGCTCGGCCACTGCCCATCTGGCTTCTCTAGCTGAACAGTTCATGTTAGGCTAGAATCTTGGGGACACACCAGGCTCTATGTGCCAGCCCTGTTACTCGAGTCATATGTGGAACATTCAAAACTTGCTCATGGTCTTTCTCAATCTGCCCATTGAACTGAACTTCTTGTGGACTTACAGCCCCAAAGGGGGAGCTGTGTCCTGTTTCCTCTCTGCATCAGTAAACTCTTGGGATTGCGGCAGGTTCAGAGCAAGGACTCTTGTACTCACTCGTGTTGAAGCTAGCCTCAGAGAGTGTGTTAAAGGCTATAGAAATAGAGAGAAGGGTGGGAAGTCATGAGCAGGGAAACAGGGCCTGATTGATCATGAGGAAAAAGACACGGCCAGCTTGAGCTTCTGCAGTGCTTTGTGGTGTAGGTACTCAGCGGGTGAGCTGGGAATGCTGCTACACAGAACGCTGACGAGACATGCTATGGGCAGTAAGGGAGCAATGTAGCAAGCGTGGACTGGCTCATGGCAAGACAGAAGAAGTGGTCTGCAGAGTGAGGCATAGGAATGAGGTATTTTGATGTGAAACTCCAGATCTGAAACTGAATCTTATACAGGCAGTTCTCACTGACCAGCTGGGGAGAAAAGCCAGATTCCAGTGCTCAGCATTACTATTCTTAAGTGAATACATGAACTTAAATTGAGTTTGTATTCTCGTGTGTATTCTCTACTATGTCCAGAGACCTGTGCTACCGGTCAACCCTGCACTAGCTCCATCCATTACCTGGAGGCCAAATGTCTTACAGGTTCTCAGCTGGAGAGTCACAGTCCCACAGTACCAAAGCAAGGTGACAAATTTATATACCATGGGGACAGAGGCTCAGGGCCTTGGTCTCAGCTCAGGCCTCCAGGGCTTTAGCCTGCACTAGTATATAAGGGAACACATATACATAGTTCCCCCTCCATGGATTCTATTATATGAAATTTTCTGAGAACACGTAAGCAAGGAGAATCCTAAAGAACAGCAAGGAGACAAACTCACTCTCGGATTGTGGCTTCCGAGTCCCGGTCCCAGGTAAACGAGGCCTCAGAAAACTGCACAGCTTTGTCTATTGAAAAGTAAAAGTTTCCTCTTTTAGTAACACGCCTCACGTATCTGTGTGCTCTTCCGTAGCCCTTGTGTCACTGCTTCCACGCTCAGCTCCTAGGATGCCCTCTGCTGGTGCTGTATCTCACCAATAGGAGGCAAGTGAACGCTGCCAGGATGAGACTACAAGTGGCCGGCACATGAAGTTAGTTTTTATTCAGAAGTCCTAAATTTTGTAGCTAGAGTCTGACCTATAGATGTTGGGTACATCTCCAGGCTCCCTTTTGCCTAATCCCTTATGTATGAGTTCTACCTTCTTATATAAGTCTTTCTTTCTTTCTTTCTTTCTTTCTTTCTTTCTCTCTCTCTTTCTTTCTTTCTCTCTCTCTTTCTTTCTTTCTTTCTTTCTTTCTTTCTTTCTCTCTTTCTTTCTTTCTATTGAGGCTCACACACAGAACCTAGTGCATGCCAAGCAAGTGTTAAGCCACTGAGATACACATCCAGCAACCTCTCTGCCTCTTCACTCGGGATTCCAGACGCACTGCGTGCTCTGGCCATGCTCTTTCCACTTCCTGTGTGTGCTTTCGCTCAAGGTATCTTCCCAATTTCATTACTTGGCTCTATCCTGATGTTTTCTTTTTCCTTTTTTTTGAGACAATGTCTCGCCAGGTAGTTCAGGCTGGCCTTGAACTCATTATGTAGCCCAGGCTGGCCTCTAATTCATGGTGATCCTCCTGCCTTAGCCTTCTGAGTGCTGAGTTTTCAGGCATGCGCTACCTCACCTCCTCTGATGATTCTTCAGAGGGTTCTTTGCATATTTTTTTTTTTTTCCGGAACCGGGGATTGAACTCAGGCCCTGGAGCTTGCCAGGCAAGTGCTTATTCTACTGAGCCATCTCCCCGGCCTCTTCTTTGCATATTCTTGAAAAAGATGACCTAGCCTTGTTTAGCAAGGTAGCTAAACAGTCTGGTCTAGACCAAAATGCAATTTAAACTAAATACTATGCTTATTATACCAGTATAAGTTCAAGACTAATCCCTAACTTTTCCTTTTAGTCTGCTACACTAAAACCCTTGTATATCAAAATTCAGACACCAGTACAATGGACAATTTTAAGAAGGAACTTCCAAATTTGTTTACCAAAATTGCAGACATGCCGAATAGCAGATGTGTCCAAGTCATCCCCTCCCAAGTACTTCTCTAGACGTTCTACAGAAACACTGGCCTAGAGAAGAAGACAAAGGATGTGAAGTCAACACAACCCCAGGAGGGAAAGGATTTCGACTGTCACCAGACCATGCTCTGCCACTCTCCATAGCTGGGCTCTGCTGATCCCCAGCACAAACTTATTCATTTCTTATCTGTGGAAGCCATCCCACTCTGGAGAGAAGGAAATTAAGGCATTCTATTTCAGCCCTTGGGAAAATTCAACTCTCCTGCTATCTCTTTCCAATCTTTAGCCCTAATTCTGGAAATTGCCTCTTGCTTTCTTCTAAGACAACACCATAACTTCTACCTACTTCTGGCAACCAAGTCCCTGTCTTCCTCTTAAGAACTGAGTCTATACTTTGATGACTATCCAGTATTCTAACTGAGCCACTATTGGAGCCAGTTCTCTAGAAGAACTGGCCAGTACTTTAACTGCAGCTGACCTAAGTGTTAGTGTAGCACCCTGGGGTCCCCAGGACATAAGGACATGGGAAATTTTCACGGTGCTTCTTTCAAAAGGTATTTCTCTGGTTTTCTAGCTTCCAGAGAGGCTGTCATGAGGTTTTATTCACAGCTGCCCAACCTCTGAGAAAGTGTCAGGCTTTCTGCCTGTTCCTCCCTTAGGGCATCACAGCAGGCTGCACAACTGCTTTGCTGCTGTATGGATCAGCTGCTCCAAAGTGGGCTGCCCAGCTGCCTGGGCTGTGTCACTGGGCTCCATTAGGTTACTGTCATATAGCTGAGCAAGGGTTACAGGAAGCTGATGGCTTGGCCAGTCTTGTTTTTACTAAGTAACTGTTATCTAAAGAGAACATGTGGTTTCTTTACTGGCCTTTCTTCCTACCTTCAAGGATAGGGAGACCTCTGAACCCCAGAGCTGCCTGTAGCCACTTCTGGGATGAACGCAGGTCACAGCACTCCTTTGTGCCTCAAGATTCTGGCCTCCTTCATCAGTCTTCCATTTTCCCTGGTAATTTTCACCTGAGGTCTAGGTCTTGGTCCTTCTCAGTGACTGGACTTAGCTTTCAGAATGCAGACATTGTCCCTGGCCTATCTAAGGCCCCCTAAACTATAAACTCATATTCTGACAGACTGAGACTTCCAAATTTACCACCATTTGACTTTTTTTTTTTTTTTTTTTTTATGGGGGATTGAACTCAGGCCCTTGCACTTGCCAGGGAAGCGCTTGTTCCACTGAGCCACTCCCCGGCCCTTTACCACCATTTGGGTTCATGTAAAGAGAAAGTCTCTTCTTTCCTTTTGTGCTTTATGTTTTTTTTTTTTTTTTTCAGAGCCGGGGATTGAACTCAGGCCCTTGCTTTTGCCAGGAAGCACTTATTCCACTGAGCCATCTCCCCAGCTCCACTTTATGCTCCTAATACTATACCAATACCTTCAGAGCCTTAGAGAAATATGGGGGAAACTAGGCTGGGGAAGGGGCTGAGAAAAATTCTTAATACCAGAGATAATCATAATCGTCTCGCTGGATGCTTTCACAAGGTTTTCTCCCTACGAGGTAGATGAGGTTGGTATGATTATCCTCACTGTTTAGTCAGATAAACTGGGGCTTTGAGAAATAGGAATTTTATCCAGATCAAGCCCCGGGGTGATAGAAACCATACAGATCTCTCTAACTGAAAGTTCACCAGCACAAGATAGACACGGGATGTAACAGGCCAGTCACTGTGGACTCTCTAGCTTTTAATCGGAGATAAGCAATCACCACATACCTGGAGCATAGAAGAGATCACCATGGGAAGCATGGTTAGGGGAAAGCGCAGGATATTGAAGAGAGTGATGGAGGTGAAGGCCTTCTCAGCATCCAAAATATTGTTGCTATCCACCAGAACATAAACAGAAAATGTAGTCACAGACACCTGGAAAGATAAAGGGCAGGAGCAATTTACTCCTGGGGTCCAAACAGCCATGTGTAAGTTTCAGGAACATAATATACCCAAACTGAAGGGAATTTAGGGGGTTATCCCAGCCTCGTTACATTTCACAGGAGAAAACTGAGCCTGCAAGAGGAATAAATAGTTTGGACAAGGTCACAAAATCATCTAATGGCCTGCTAGGACCAGGGTTTGGGTCTTCTGGCTCATATATCAATGTTCCTTCCACTGTACATTTATATGACTTCTTCCCAAGAGAAGAAGCATCTTATGCAAATCATTCTTGGATGGCATCTCCATAATAAACATCCAGGAGACTTTCTTTTGACCTCCAGACACTAAATAGTAGTAAACAAAAGTGGAATAAGAGTTGGGAGCACAACATAGGGAAGACGACACAAAGGTTTGAGGAAAGAGTGTTTTTCCTGAATTCTCAAGCCTAGAGGTGCTGGGACTCTATCAAGAACAGCCAGTTTTCTTGAGGAAGCTGACTGCAGTCCAAAACCTCACTACTCACCAGGACAGGCGCTAACTGTAGGACGAAGATTATAACGCACTGCAGCTGACCAAAGAACAGCAGGTTCTTCAGCTCTTTTTTCCGAATATTGGTGATTCGTTCTTTGAATGAAGGTTCCCAGGCAAAATACTTCAGGATCTAATGGGTTACAAATGAGCACAGCTGTCAATGGTTGCTCCATTTCAATGATAAATAGGCTGAGAGAATCTAAGCACCCAGCCCAAAGTAACCAAGGTAGACCTGAAATTCAAATTATGTCTATCTTTTAATTTTGCCACACAAGAAGAGAGACACACTGAAGTTGAGAAATAGCACTGAGTTCTTTTATTTTAGTTTTAATTTATGTATTTTGTATAGGTCTCACTATGCAGCTTGGATTAAAAGTGATCCTCCTGTTTCAGCTTCCCCAGAGCTGGAATTACAGGCTGTCTCAGTGGCCAGCTTGGCCAGCTTGGGACAGGGCTGGCACAGCATACAGGACAGGGGATCAAACCCAGGTCCTTGCGTTTGCCAGCCAGGCGCTTAGACCACTATCTCCTCAGCTCAGAAGGGGGTTTTAAGGGTCGTTTGTTTCATTTTTCAAGAAATTTAAGACAGAACTAAATCTTTTAATTAAAAACAGTATATACTGTTTGAGGTGCCCGGTGACACCATTCATTTCTTTCCAGCTCTCACCCAAGCTTGATTCTGCCCTTCAGCCTTTGCCTGACTGTTCTTTCTTCTCAAGTTGTTCTAGACTTTTTCACTCAGAGCTTGGCTTAAATGCGTCTCCTCTCAGAGGAATTTCTTGATTTCCTCACTGAAAGCATCACCCACTCACTATCCTTTTACTTTTAATTCTCTGTGTAGTTTTCAGCATGATCTGGGACAAAATGCATTATTTTGAAAGTTGGGCAATAAGGAAAAGAAAGCATCCATCCTGGGTATGCCAAACAAATTTCATTTTAGGAAGTCAGCTTGTTGAAAAAAGATAACTGGAAATTATTTATGGAAATCCAAGTAATCAATAACAAGGACATAATTAAAATAGCACTCTTTAAATAGTTTCACCGTGTTGCAACTTCTAAAGAAAAACTGGACTAAGCAATGACCATAAAATTTGCATAAGTATGGCTTTTTAGCTTTACTGTATATCCGAATCCCTCAAGGAGCATTTTAAAACTATAAACACCTGGTCCTCAAACCTAGAGAATTCAACTGCAATGATCTGAAATGCTGTGTAGCTCCAATCTCAGTTGGTTCTACACACTTCACTAGGTGCTTCTCATGTACTCCCAGGGTCACAAGCTGCTTTTGCAGATGAAATAGCCATCAGTGCTGCTTTGTAGAAGTACAGAGCACCACACACTACTTAAAAATAGCCCCCAACCTGATCTAAATCTAATCTAATTCTAAATGAATTAATAGATCTAATTACAAATTTGTAAGAAAGACAAATGACCTGGGTTCTTCAATATGGCTGGGAGAGGTGCTGGACATTACAAGCATTGGTTGTGCTGCTGAGGAGTTAGGTCAGCAGCCTAAGTGCCTGCCTGGCAAATGCAAGGACCTGGACTGGATCCCTCAGACCACACGCCCTGCCAGCCTGGAGCCCCGGGGGCACCATGATAGCCATCAAAACCAGGCCTGGTGGCGCACACCTGTAATCCCAACACTAGGGAGGCTGAGACAGGAAGATCACTATGTCAGAACTGCATAGTGAGACCCTGCATCAAAACATAAATAAATAAAAATTTAATACAAGGGGGGGGGACCTGAGAGATGGATTAGAAGATAAAACACAAGATTTGTGGGTAAACGAAGCAGGACTCAACTGACACAAATTAGGCTAAAAAGCAGGAATTCACAATTTCTAATTGAGTTTGTTAAGGCCAAGAAATTGACAGGTTCTGCTTTTGTACCCAGACGTATACCTACATATGTCTTCTTTTCCTTTTTCTTCTATTTTCTAAAAATTAACTTTATTGGTGTACTTTTGATATATACAATGATCACTTTCATCATGGGGAATCTGTTTCTGTACATGATATATTTTGGGCTTATTTATTTATTTATTTTTATTTTTTCCATAATTTTATTGAGGAACAAATAGCAAAGAGACAGTTTCAATCCAAATTGGTAGGACAGTTTCAATAATTAACACATTGCATACATTCTTCCTAGTGGTTAATTGCTGTACAAGATGAGGACTTGATATCCTATTTACAAACACTATTAGAACAAATCCCTCTATTCATTAAGAGAATGTAACTATATATCTATCCTAACCACTTTGAATACACAGATACAAAATGGACATTCATCTGTATCCCCTTTTTTATTTAGTTCCGTTATTTTAATATTACAGGTGTGTTAACTCAGCAAAATATACTAAAAGAGTCTAGTAGTCCATAATAGTATTGGGTCTTCCGCTTGACTGGCAACGTCAAAAATTGTTGACCTGAGTCCCCCACAGCTCAACATAACAGCATGGCTTTACTTCTTATACTTCTTTTTTATACTTTTCTGCTGGAACATGATATATTTTGATTTTTCATTTCCCCCCATTCCCTTGTCCTCCCTTCAACACTTCTTCCCCTCCTGACTTCTTACCTTGATTCCACTGAGAATCTCATTCATGATCTTTAAACGTTTGTCCTTATTCTTCATATTTTTCACCTGTTAGGAAAAAGCAAAATGAAAACAAAACACTTTCAGGAGACAGGGACCAGCTTTGGTGCAGACATTAGGCCTCACTTGTACCTATGACTCTTAGTCAGAATGTGAGGTGCCTGGTGACAGCATTTGTTTCTTTCCAACTCTCACCCAAGCTTGATTTTGCCCTTCAGCCTTTGCCTGACTGTCCTTTCTTCTCAAGTTTTTCTAGACTTTTGTCATTCAGAGCTTGGCTTAAATGTGTCTTCTCTCAGAAGAATCTCTTGACTTCCTCATGGGAAATATCACCCACTCGCACTCCTTTCATTTTTGATTCTCTGTGTAGTTTCCAGCATGATCTGTTTACTGCCTAAGCGAAATAGATCTTCGAGAGCAAGAGTCCTTTCTAATCTGCTGCCATATTCTCATAAAAGTAAAATGTGTAATAATTTTTTTCAAAACAATTCTTTGTAAATAAATAAACATGAAACAAGTGAATAAAAATGTGTATACCATCAAATCCATCTAATTCGTGGTACTCAACAAAACTAAGAACTGTCTACATTGAGCCCTTCTACCTGGTGACAGCAAAGTGATTGTTGAAACGTAAACAGAAAATTAGAATCACTCATCACTCTGCTCTGTGTGGTTGGCTTGTACTGCCATGACATAGAAGAGGGCTCAAAAATCACCATTTGGAGGGCATCCCAGTAAAGCAAGAGGGAATAGTTATATACAGGGTTTCCAGGGCTGCCCTTTCTTCTCCAGTCAGGCTTTTCTCTCTAACATAAATGAAGAGTATATAAAGCCTAAGAGTTGTCAAAAGATGGAAAGGAAGACTGAGAAAGTCTTTTGGGTGGTAGAAAGTCTCTACCAGCTTTGTCTTGTCCAAATAACCTCTAAAAATTAGAATAAGTGTTAAGGCCTTAGACTTCAAAGATATGTTTCCCCAGGGTGACTATTTTCTTTACCTGAATACGTCTATTCTTGGTGGCAAATATTCCATTAACTGGAACCAGGAGAACCATCACCCCTACACCTGCTAAGACCGAGGGCCCCAACTCTCTCCACAGGAAGAAGATGGATAAGACAATCTGTAGGACAGTTGACCACACCAAGTGAATAAAATTGGTCACATCCATGAGCTTCTGGGCATCCACAGACATCAGGTTCACTGTTTCTCCAATGGTGTACTGTCTTCTGTTCAAGTTGGACAGGGTCAGTGCCTAGAAATAAAAATTAGGACTGGGGTCCATGAACAAGACCAAATATACTGGAGACTAGAAAGGGAAACTCGGGAATTTAGAAAACAGTGGAAGGATGGGTTCCATATGGAAAAATCTTCAAGAGACTGATTTCTTGCCTCCAAATCCAAAATAATATTCTCTCATTCTTATCTATCCTTTTCTCATATTTCTGCCTTTCTTCAACCCCACCCCCCCATCCTTTTTTGCTCAGGAAACTAAACCTTGCCAGCTTCTAAAAATGCATCCTTCCCTTTCTCGTAAACATAATGCATCTCACGTCTATGAATGTGCTTTTCATATTTTGATTTCCAGAATAGCATCTAGAGGAGTCTGCGTGGCTAATCAAAATTAAGTATTCATGTGTTTAGTACAGGGTCTCACTACACAGATCAGACTCCTGCCAAGTGCTGGGATTACAGGCGCGCGCCACCACACCCAGTCTCAGTTGCCATCTCAGCGTGCCCTGGAAGTGGGGCCTGCACAGCATGCTGGGGATTGAAACCCCGTTCCTGCGCCTGCCTAATTAGTGTGCTGAGCTATCTGACCAGCCCAAAATTGAGTATGAAGATCAGTTCTGATTTCCGTAAGTTTTCTTCTACTTTGGAATAAATGCTCATATTTCCTAAGAGGATTTTCTTTGGTGATACTATCCCTGACATATTCTGCTTACCTTCTTATACACAGAAGCCATGATGGTTGTCCGCACACTCATTCCCAGAAGAAAACACTTTTGAAAATAAGTCTGAAGGCAGAGAGACTGGATGAGACTGATCGCGAATAAGAGGATGGAATAGACATATCCAGTCCACATGTATGAGTCAGAGTCGCTCACAAAGGCAATCAGCCATCTGCCAAAATAAAACCAAGTCAGCGGCGCTCCCTAGGCCACCAAGGCTCTTCACTGCATACATGGTCGAAGCGACCCGGATCATCCAGTACGTTTGGAAGATCTAAATTCCATAGTCTTGCCAATGTTGTTGCTTTCATGATAGATGGGCAGAAAGGTCTTAGAATAAGTAATTCAGGGCCAGCAAGATAGCTCAGCAGACTAAGCGCCTGCTTAGGCAAGCACAGGGACTGGGTTCGATCCTCTGCACCACATGCTGCACCAGCCCCACCCCTGGGCATGCTGAGCCTGCCATAGAGACTGGGCGTGGTGGTGCCCACCTGTAATCCCAGTGCTGGGAGGGCTGAAACAGGAAGATCACTATGAGTCCAAGCTGTGTAGTGAGACCCTATTCCAAGTACAGACAGACAGACAGACAGACAGACAGACAGACAGACAGACAAAATAGAATAACAGAATAAGTAATTCATAGTTGTGAGGATGGATAATGAAGGAAATTCTGAATGGAGTTAGCACCGCAGTGCTTTGGCCTTGTCATGTTCCATTTCTTGGTAAAAGAAGTTGTTTGGGCCAAGTCAGTTATTTCTAGGCAATGAAAGTCCGAAAGTTAGGCCGCGTTCCCAGAATGAGTGAAAAGGGTTTGCTTGGTGGTAGGTCATTCCTGATCATGGTACATTGCAGAAGCCTTGTTATGATCAGCCTGAGCCTCTTAGGGGAGGATTGGGGTCCATGGCTGCCAGGAGGAAGGCAGCTGCAAAGAAGGACTGAGCCCCTCTGGAATAAAGGATTGGGGTCCATGGCTGCCAGGAGGAAGGCAGCTGCAAAGAAGGACTGAGCCCCTCTGGAATAAAGCTTTGCAGAAAGTTCAAAAAAATAAAAAATAGGGCCGGGGAGATGGTTCAGTGGAATAAGCGCTTCCCTGGCAAGCATAAGGGCCTGAGTCCAATCCCTAGTTCGCCAAAATAAATAAATAAATTATAATAAAATAAAAATAAAAGGATTGGGAATGTAGTTCAGTATGAAGATCCTAGGTTCAATCTGTAAGAGAGAGAGAGAGAGAGAGAGAGAGAGACAGACAGACAGACAGACAGACAGACAGACACAGAGAGACAGAGACAGAGAAAGCACTCACTTAGGGTAGGCTGTTTGGTTGTGACTCAAACTACTGCGCTTCTGTTTAACAAGTAAAAGGCCTAACAAATATGTAAGAATGTAGAAAAAGAAAAGAATGTGGCTTCCATGGGGTAGAGGAAGAGGAGGCTATAAAGGAGGAATTAGATTTGGAAAATGCCCTGTGCTCTTCCTAAAACAAAGCTGTAAAGTGGAAGAAAGTTATGAATATTTTCAAAAGAGGAAATTAATAAAAACTCTTGGCTGCATATACAAGTGTCAAAAAGGAAGGTGACAGAGCAGGCACTCAAAGGTCACCGTAAGCCAGGGATACTCACTTCAGCAGCTGAGGATTCAGAAACAAAGTGATGTCATGCACTAGTTTCAGTATGAATGATTTGAGAAGCACCATGTAGAAAGTTTTGAAGAGGGCCTTGGTCAGCCAAGATTTGGGAAAGTCTTTCGTTTTCTTAGACTTCTTTTTCTTTTTAGCTTCTTCCTGGGTACAAAAGAAAAACAACAGTGTTAACACAGTTGTACAGTATAAGATTTTACTCCAGCTCCGATATTCTTGCAGAGTTTGTGAGGCCTGTTGTCTTCTTTGTGTAGGCTTTAATCGTCTCTTCTTCTCCTCAGTGCGATTAGCCTATCTCTCCCTTCTGATGTTGAAGTCTATTTTTGAGTAGAAACAAAACAAAACAAATAAAACACATTTAAAAGGATTGGGGCTTCCACCACAGCAACCACTGAAGAACAGTAGCCATGGCTGTCCTCTATACCATGGCCATGGGCCTCAACAAGGGCCACAAAGTGACTAAGTATGTGAGCAAACCAAGGCACAGCCATCATCTCAGATGTCTCACCAAACACACCAAGTTCTGGCAGGACACGATCCAGGAGGTGTGCGACTTCAGCCCCTCTGAGCGATAAGTAATGGAGTGGCTCAAGGTCTCCAAGGACAAGCATGCCCTCAAGTTCAGCAAGAAAAGGGTGGGGACGCACATCCGTGCCAAGAGGAAGCGGGAGGAGCCTGAGCAACATGCTGGCTGCCATGAGGAAGGCAGCTGCCAAGAAGGACTGAGCCCCTTTGGAATAAAGCTTTGCAGAAAGTTCAAGAAAATAAAAAATAAAAATAAAAAGATTGGGAATATAGTTCAGTATGAAGGTCCTGGGTTCAATCTGGAGAGAGAGAGAGAGAGAGAGAGAGAGAGAGAGAGAGAGAGAGAGAGAGAGAGAACAGACAGAGAGAGAGAATGACAGAGAGACAGAGACCGAGACCGAGTCCTTTTCTTGTTTGAAGATGTCATGGGTTGAACTGTATTCTCTTCCCCCAAATTTCTAGTCTTAACCTTTTGTACTGTGGGATGTGCGGGAAACAGGGTCTTTGGGGTTGTAATCAGGTTAAGGTAAGGTCATTGGGGTGACAATAATCTGGTATGGTGCTGTCATAAGAAGAGAACAAAAGAGACACAGACTGAAGATGCCCATGTAAGAACAGAGGAGGAAAATGGAGTGATTTACCTACCAGTCAGGGAATGCCCAGGATTTCTGCCAAAAACTAGCAGGTAGACAAAGGATTTTTCTCTACATGTTTCAAAGAGAGAATCATCCTGCTGATTGCTTGATTTCAGACTTATTGATTCCTGGTGTGTAAGACAAACTCTGTGTGTATGAGTGCGTGTGTATGTGTGTGTGTGGGGGGTGGTACTGGAGACCAAAGTCAGGGTCATGCTTAAGTAGGTATTTTGCTGTCGAGCAACAGCCCCAGCCTCTGTAGTTTTGATTTCTCCAGTTCCTAGTATAGTCATACCTTGGTATTCCCCTGTTTTGAATTTGGTACTTGATGCCTTCTGATTCAGATATTTTGTCCAGGGATTCCTCAGTTTTTGGTACTTCACAAGGAAGCACAATTTCCCAGTGTTAACAACTTCCCATGATTTGCTACCGTTTCCAGTTAAAACAACATGTTTGGTCCTTGTCAGTCTTAGTACCCATCATGCCTACCAGGGCCAATTAACCATCTACACTCAGGTACCAGGCATTTGCTTATGACAGCCCTAGGAAGGGACATACCAGCTCATTCCCCAGTCTCTCTCTCCTGTGCTTTGGCCTTCTCAGACCCCAAATTCTAGCTTCTCAGCCCCAGTTTCTAGGTTTTCTTTCACTCACAGTCTCACCATTTTTCTTACTGAGCCTCCATAAGGTCAGCCCGCTCAGCTTCTACTCGAGCCTCCTGACAGTTCTTTCTCCAGAGAAGCCCCAGTCAGCTTTACTCCTTTGCTCAAAACCTTCCACTGACTTTCCAGCAGACTTTGGATAACATCTAGACCCTGGCCCATGGCCCATGAAGGAGGTCAGTTCCCACCTGCTTCATCTACTGCCTGGAGCTCATCTCACCCTATGCTCAGCCTCTCTCAGTGCTCCTTTTGGTGCTCAGCACAGGCTGGACCCGTTCTCTCAGCCCCACACACCTGCTTTGTCTGGTTGACACAGACTTCTTCCCTCTGATTGTTCCTCAGGTCTTCTCCTTTGGAGCTCTGTCCAAATACCATCTTTCTTGAAAGTCTTCCGTGTTAACTGTCCAATGCAGATGTTACTTCAAATCCACTTCCACTTCTTTTCTTTGTTTTTAGAAGGAGTTATGTTATGTTGCCCATGCTGGTCTCAAAATCATGGGCTAAAACAAATCTCTTGCCTTAGTCTCCCAAGTAGCTACAATTACGCATATATACCACTGAGCCTCACTTTCTTCTTTCCTCCCCCCCCACCTCCTC